TGTTGTTCTTGTCGTTGCTGTTACTCAATCATTCATTAAGTTTTTTTAATGTTGAAGGCTACATGGTGGTGCTGCTTAATATTAAATATTTAATGATTTTTTTTATTGATTGATTAAATTATATTTAGTTTCAATATGAAATATATATTATATTTAGTTTAAATTATGTTTCAATATGAACTTCTTATTTACTTCTCATTTAAACTGAACTTTCTATTTTTATACTTTTATGGCGTTTTATGGATAAAGATTATTGTGTGTGTTTGTATATGTGTTGTGTTTCTTTGCGGTTTGTGTGTTGTTTGTTTGTATGTTTGTTTGTTTGCGTGTGTGTGTGCGTGTGTGTGTGCGTGTGTGTGTGCGTGTATGTGCTTTCAATCTATGCAAGATGCGAATTTGTTACAAGATGATCGTCTGGTGTCCTTAGTTTCCCGCTCTTTTCGTTTTCTACTCTTTCCTTTATATAACGAAAACGATTCCAAGTTTTTTCCTATATTATTTATTTATAAAATATTATTACGCATATTATATTATTTATTATTTGATTATTGTTGTTTTGACAGATTATTATTATTATATTTTTATTATTATTTGTTGGATTTCATGTTTTTTTGTTAAGTACATGTTTTTTTTCCTCTTTCTGAATGACGATCACGTGTTTGTATGTTTCAATTTTTTGTACCATGTGATCCGGGATCAACAATTTTTAATCAAAATTTCAATCTTTCTCACTTCTGTTTAATAGAATTTGTCGGAAATTATTGTCTTCTTTTAATTTTTTGCCTGGTTGTGTATCGTTTAAACATAAACTTTAGCTAAACCAAAATTGTATTTATTCGTACACGCACCTCATTACATGATACTTTTGATACTTTTTGGTACTTTAGGATACTCTATGATACTTAAGGATACTTAATGATACTTAAGGATACTTTATGATAGTTCATCCTCTGCATAATGCCAATAATTTATTCTTGCATCTCCTCCTATTACATAACTTAATTATCTTCATATGTTATTAAACTTTTGTGAGCGCAATAGCCACTTGAATTTGGTTTTGAGGAATAAATAATTAAAGAAATGGATGAATGTATGAATGAATGAATGAATGAGTGAGTGAGTGAGTGAGTGAGTGAATGAATGAGTGAATGAATGAATAAGTGAATGAACGAATGAACAAAAGATTGAATGAATAAATATATAGAATAAATAAAATGTACAGTAGTTACATGTTCACGATGAAATGATTTTTTTCCTCTTACTGTCACAATGTTGGTTCATCTTAACCTATTTCATATTCTGTTATTTACATTCTATGGTGATAACTCTACTTAAGCTAGATGCAAGGTTAATATATTTCTATTTTCATACATGTATTACATAATTAATTAATTAATTGCATAATTAGTTACATAATTAATTAATAACATACTTAGTTTTTTTTTGGATGGATATTTCAAATGAGTTTCATTGTCGTTAATGTTGAGTTAATAAAATATTTTCGCGTGTCTACAATTCATAATAATTTGTATGTTTATACGTCTATATATGTGTGTGTGTGTGTGTGTGTGTGTGTGTGTGTGTATGTGTGGGCATGTACATATGTGTGTATGTATATTATTATTATTACTTTTATTATTATGGAAATTTATATAAAGTGCTCTTATTTGGTAAAACTCAAAAGCGCTACTGAAAATCATAGACAAATAAGACAAACGTTCATTGTGCAAATAAATAAGTGTATGTGTATGTAAATGTATGTATGTGTATGTACATGTATTTGTATGTGCGTGCGTGCGTGTGTGTGGGCATGTACATATGTGTGTATGTATGTTTGTGTATGTGTGTGTGTGTGCGTGCACTTACGTACGTTACAATATGGAAGGTGTATGTATATAAATACATACATAGATGCAAAAAATGGAATGTAGGTATTCTCAAGGCCACCTTGTTATATCTCATCTATTAATTCATCACGTGTTAAATGAATGGATTCCCTAAAAGCTTTGTAATTATTATTATAACCGTTATTATTACTGTTATTATTATTATTATTATTCATATGATTCTGGTTATTATGGCTATTAGGATTATCCTCACCATCCCATCCTATCCTACCTAATTGACGATCCTTGCTCGCCATGATGATGCATAACTTGCAGAGCGTCTGACATCAGCTAAGAATCGAGGATGGCAGGCAAATCTGTCATGTGGTTCCCTCTTTCTTCTTCATCTTCTAGTGCATGTACTTCTTCTTGCTATTGATTGAAGTTTGGTTTTCAGTTGGTACTTCACGAAGGAGTACGTGCGACTCATAATTGAAATAACAACGAGGGAACTACATGCATACAAATACACGTGAACAAACAACAAACACATGAGCTACAAAGAGTTAGCACGTGAACAATAAGCAAACAACAGCACATGAACAAACATTAAACAACAACAAAACCAGAACGAACGAACAACAAACAAACCAACAAACGTACGAACGAACGAA